TTTTAAAAAAATATTATGAAATTCAATTAAAAGATAAAATGTAACGTAAAAATATAAAATAACATTTTCAATTAATATAAAATATAGTTATTCCAAAGAAATAATATTTGTTTGGTATTACTTATGGTTTACACGATAATTTAAATATGTCAAAATATATCATTCAATAAAAATTTAAAATCTACTATTAGGAATAGGAAAAAGAGAATAAAAATATGATTAAAATAAAAAAGAAGGTATCGTAGAGATAAAAAGAAAAAGAAAAATATTAATTAATAAGGAATAATTTCAAAAATATAAATTTATTGTAAGGCTATTATTATCTTGAACAAATTAATTTTCTGCTTCTGCTTTTTGGAAGAAGTTAGAATTTGTAGCTTCTCCCCAAAATCACAAAATTTGCTTCTGCTACTGCTCAAAAGTACCTTTTCATCTTGACCAAATACCTTAAATTTTCCAAAAAGAAGTACTTTTGACTTCCCAAAAGCTTGGTCAAATAGGCTCTAAATTTGTATTTACACCGGAAAGTCCACATCTGAGGTAAAGCATCCCTTAATAAAGGCAACTTCACACCCAGTCTCAAATTTGAGACTTATAGTTAAAGGTGAAGGAGTATTTCCCGTTCTACCACAACAGTGGTAAATATGAAAATGTTAGGAAACCATGCAAGTTATTATATTTTTTTGAGTATATTCCTTTAATTAATGGGTGCTAGTATTGATACAGTGCTGCAATCTGGGGAAGGACAAGTGCCAGTAACATGGTCATTAAACAAGAGCAAACCAGCTGGAACAGACTCAAATTACAAGACAGTGGAGGTGAAATTATGTTATGCCCCAATCAGCCAAGTGGACAGAGGATGGAGGAAATCCGACGACAATCTCAAAAAAGACAAGTCTTGCAACTATAATATTGTCACAATGCCATACAATTCCTTAAACAACAGTTTCACTTGGACTATAGACAAGGATGTTCCCACTGCTACCTATTTCATAAGGGCATATGTTTATGACTCTACTCGGTGAAGAAGTTGCCTATGGCCAAACCACTGATTCCCACAAGAAAACCAACTTGTTCCAAATTTTGGCAATCACAGGCCGCCATGTTACTCTTGACATCTGCGCCGCCTGCTTCTCCGCTTTCTCCATTATCTCCCTTGTCGGATTCTTCTTTATTGAGAAGAGAAAGGGCAAAAGTTCTCGCCAAAAATTATTACCCTATATTTATTTATCCTCCATTATCATATCTAGATTTAATAAATGTGCCTTCCTATAACTTAGGTTTAAAGCGTAGTATCTAGCGTGTTATGTTTCATAGCTGTGTAAAATAAGTAATACTATAGTTACTGCTTTCATTAATTGAGGCAGGTAGATGTGACGATGAGCATTTAGAAAAGTAAGCATTGGTAGGTTTGGTTGTGTAACGTAACATTTGGGGGTTAGCTATATGAAAACGATAGGCTTGGAAAAAAGTTTGAGGCAATGACATTCAATTAATAGTAACTCGTGTGTTCAACATGTTTGTTCACACCACAATGGGACGTCGGGAGAAAGACTTTATTCATTACCATATTTTTCTAGAGTTTCTTTGTGGGGCCTGTTTTCTCTATCTTTGTAGGTGCCCAGTTGTTTGTCGAACCAGTAAAATATTGCTCCATTTCTACACTAAATATCTGCAATCTGAAGCTGTAAAACAAAAGAAATAACTCAACTATTCCAAACGATATTGCTGCTAATTGATAAAATGGATTTTACGCCAAAGATAAGTTGATCTTTCATACCATAATTCTGCATGTTGTACAGAGAAGGAAGGAATCACAAATTGTACAAGTTACCACAAAACCAACGGACTCAATTATGTGAAATCGAAAATTCCCATGTGATTTTTGACCCTCCCCAAAATTTTACCCATTTTAGCATGTAAATATTTAGTTTAGGCTTAATATTGCTATTTCAACTAATTTTTACTATTTTACTTTATTTTATTACAAGAAAATAAAAAATTACCAAAAACTAGGTTTATTAATATTTTATAGTCATTTTTAATCTTAAAAAAAATATACAAAAATAGTTTTATATTTTATAGTTTAGTTCAATTAATTAAAATTAGTTTTATATTTTTATATTATAATTGTACATAATTTTAGAAGAAAGAATTAGTTTTAGGTTGGTTTATCCCGTTTTTACAAATCTTATAGTACATTTTTTAGTCTTTGGCCCAAAATCCCTAGCTCATAGTTCCTAGACCATACCCCTAACCTAATCCCTACTCTATATAATACTACCTACACCACAAACACACCTTATACACATACAAAATACGACTCTTTACCTGATGAAGTCAACGAAGGATACCTCCTTCCTCCTCCATTAGAAACAGCCATAAACACAAAAGACCCTCTGTTTAACAAACAAAAACGACCTTCCACGCCCCTATACCATCGGCTGTGTTGAACCTATCTTCTACAGCACAAAGAGAAATGGCAGCATCTCGGTTAACTGAAAAAAATCAGCCAAAATATTGTCATAGCTAATTAAAATATCTCTTCGCCTTAACTCCGAACACCGTTTTTGTTTGCCAAAAAACGCAGCCATGAAACCAGCTGAAACGCCATTTTTGTTCCTCCTTTTCAACACCCAAAAACCAACTCAAGTGCAGTCCAAAAATTAACAACAACGAGCTGAAAAAAAACAGCCCCCAACCCGTCCTAAAATCACCTGAAACGTTCGAGTTTGAAGGTCCGTCGAGGTCGAGTTTTCCGGCGTGGTCTTGGGTTAATGGGTTTGTTCGAGGTCGCTTGTATAGTTTTGCGATCGAGTCGGTGCCAGTGGAGTTTTCCGTTCGAGTTCCGGCGAAAGTCCTTTGTTTCTTTCTAAGTTTTTGGATGCCGCTCTCATTTGAACAATATAATGGTTGTACAACTTTGCACGGAGATTTTATTATTCAATCACAATCTTGGCTCTGCTCTGAGGTTTTTTTTTCTCTTTCACTTTGTCTCTGATTTCTCATTACCAGTCAATATGTGCCTTATTAGATTTTGTCTATGTTATATTTTGAGCTGATTTTTATTGATTCTATATGGTCTTTTGTTGAGCTTAGTCTTAGAGGGACGTTTAAGTGGAGCATCTCCAATTTATGTTCTGTATTTGAAAACATAAAAGTTTATATATATCTCTGGTTACATGGGTTAATGATGCATTTCAATTGTGTTTTCTATTAGATGAGATATCTGTTGAGGGTCATATTTGTTTTCTTCTATTATGATTTTTTTTTGAGTTCATAGAACAAATGAGTTTAATGTTTGCAAACCAGTGACATCGATGGGTAAGCAGTCTGGTATTCTACTTGATACCTAATTAGTTTTAAAGATGAATATCCTTAGTTCTTTTTAATTGAATGTATTTCCTTTGAAAAAAATTGAGGCGTGCCATGCCAAATAAAACCCTAAGCCCATAGCCCTCACTTAATTAATTTTAAAATCCTTAGAAATCGGGACATGCCATTTAGCGAATTTTCATGGCTTCCCGCAAAGATAATAATACGCTAGTCACTTTAGGCGCGAATTTTAATAATATTACTTTCCTAAACTCGGGTGTGCATTTCATGCAACCCAAATCCAAATCCCAAAACGTTGAATAAGAGGTGTCGCGGATCCGGGTGCATTTCATGTGACGTGATCCGAAAACACGCTCTTAAACGGCGTTCACTTTCGTAAAAATAACTAAAAGCGGTAAATAATCTTAAAAAATTGCATTATAGGTTGGAATATGTATAAAAACCAGATTTTTAGCCATTTATAATAATTTAAGCGACCGTGCTAGAACCACGGGATCCGAGGGTGCCTGACACCTTCCCTCGGGTCAACAGAATTCCTTATTCAGAATTTCTGGTTCGCAGACTCCAATTTGGAAATCGAATTTTTCCTCGATTTGGGATTTAAATTAAATCGGTGACTTGGGACACCAAAAGCCAATCCTATCCCAAGTGGCGACTCTAAAAATAAATAAATAATCCCATTTCGAATAATGTCACTTTAAATGGAAAAACTCCCTTATACATTATCCTTCGGGGTAGGTGTGTAAAAAAGGAGGTGTGACACCCAGCCTTAGTTTATAAGTAAGTAGTAGCTGCGATAAATGAAAAAAAAAAAAAAAATCAATTTTGGCACTAGAACTCCAAATGTATACGTTAAATAGGGAAAGGAATTTTTTCACATGCCCAACTTTAGTTAGGGCATCTCCAACCTTTACCCCATTTTTGGTCCCCAAAATGAGGATTTTCCTATTTTGGGGACAACTTACTCCAACCATTCCCCCATTTTTTTTCCCAGACTTTTTTATATTCTTCTCTCTCTTCTATATTATATTATTATCTTTCATTTCAATTTCATTTTTTAATTTTCATTAAACAAATTCCATCTTTTATTTTTATTAATCTGTAATTTCTATTAAAACAATTCCATAAAATTTTAAATAATAGAATTTGTAAGAAATTATTATAAATTAACTAATAATTCAAATAAAAGTGAAATCATTGCGATACAAGATTGACAGATAATTGTTGTTGTTTTAAACTATCCAAGGAGTTCAAGATTGTGATATGCTTGTGCTATCGCTGAAGATTGAATAGGGAAACCACACCTACCAAGAGAGCTCTAGAGCAGATTTTCTTTGTATTGTTTTCAAACATGGATATGACTATCGTTGGATATTTAGGATAGTTAATCAGTAAAAAAAAAAAGTTACTAATCAGCTCTCCGCTAGCTCGCGAACTGTGTATTCTTTCCTGGTGGTTGGATTAATTACCAGTCCCTATAGGTATATGGTAGTAGTTAAGAGAGGTCAACTCCAGAAACATAAACTAGTAATTAGCTATGTGATTAACGGAGAAAATTTTCCCCTTCATTTACATATCTAACATCATTATCAAATGTCAATAATCTAAGATACATCTACCAAAATAATGCAACTAGCAGTATGAAGCAAACAAGAACAGATATGAGAGTAGAGACGCATGATTAATGTATCCGTGGTTAACTTTACTAATTCATCCAGAGTACAACCATGTTTATTACAGGACAGAAGCAACTTTTGGAACTCTTTAAGGATTCAGGCTAAACCTAAATCGACAAACAGGAATTTTCAGGACACCCTGGAAGTCAAGAATAGAGTCCAATACGTACCTCATTCACGGAGTAGCCGCAATATCTGGGTGTAAGCAACAGAACTTACATCAAAACCATGCCCGTCTTGCATTTCCTGGGAATTATGCTTTCTCAACATACCGTATAGTTGACATCATATATATAACCACTAAAAGTGGGTAAACTTTACACCTGTAGCTTTTTATTTTTGGTTGCAAGTATGGTCTAGTGACCAAAAACCATCTCACTGCTCTTCATTCTATCATTACCAAAAAGTGATAATCTATCACTGAAAGCATCAATGTGTCCAAAAGCATCAGTTCCGGGAGGACACTCAAGAGCTGCTTCAAGGACCCGATGATGTACACCATGGGAGTCAACCGACTGTCCACCTTTATGGGCGTGTCCACCTATACAGACCTTCACACAGCTATAACGATGAATCACGTCCATCACTTCATCGTAATTCCACAACAATGCTGCAAAAGATGAAGCTCCAGGATCCAAAGGCAGATGGCAACACACTACTACATTTTGATTCAACTCTGTAGCTTCCTGAAGGACATGATCCAGCCATTCCAATTGTTCTTTCCCAACGCCTCCGTTGAACTTGAGAAACCTTCTCTCTAATCCCACAAGTCCATTTGGACTGTTTTTGTCTGAATTTGGGTTTCTCTCCTGAAGAACTTTTAAGGCCTTCAAAGTATTAGGGTGATCCTCTGGCCAACCAATGGCACTGATATCATAACCATCTAAGATTACAAATCTGTATTCTGGAATTGGAGAAAAATCAAAATAGGCACGTCCATCATGGCCAGGAATTCTCAACAGAGGAAGCAACTTATCCCGAGGAAGATTGTAAAGGCAGTGATTGCCAATCATGTGATAAACAGGGCCATTGAACTTATCAAATTCATCAACAATTTTCTTCACAGCAATCATTGACTGGTCTTTGGGACAAAACCCATCAACAATGTCACCAAAATGAAGAACAAATTTTGGCTTTTCTTGATTCCATTTCTGAACTGCCCTCTGCAACACACAAACGCTGTGTCGATAATACCTAGGAACACCAAGGAATGAGCAGCCATCAGGAATATCAGCATATTGGACATCTGATATGATCCCAAAAGAGAGAAGTGGCTGCTTCCCCTGCGGACATAGAAGACCATTTGCATATCCCATTGTGCACCACCCTTTAATTTGCAAGGTTAACTTGTCAGTTGTTTTGGATTTCTAATATATCAGAGTAGTGAAGGTTTTCTCAACAGAGAAACAATGATAACATCATATAGTATCACAAAAATATTTCTATTATGATGCCTAAGTTGATTCAGAAAGCAAAAGACAAAACTAACATGCATATGAAAAGGAGAAAAAAAAAAACAATTGCTAAATGAGAACTCAAATCAACTACTTTACTAGGTTGCCACTTCTATTATTCAATACACACTAGATTCATAAAGACAGAAACTAGTATCCTTGATATTAGGCTGTTCTCCTGTGCTCCTCTGAAGAAGTCTGTCCTACTTCTGACATACTTCCGCTCTTTGAGCTCATTGGAAAGAACTTTACCGAGCTTATTTTCACACTCAACATTGACGGCACATGATGAACTCCCCCATCTCCAACCCTCATCTATTTTTACCAGTTCAGCTACTCTATAGCAGTCAAAGCAGTCACTTAAAGACCAACTCATTCCTGTAAACGAATTAAAATTTGTAGAATGAACATTTCATACAGAATGAATTGTGAATTTTTATCTGTGATTGTGTTTTTGCATGCATTTGGTTTTTTCCGGGCACAAAATTTACAAACTGAGGCTAAAAGACCTCATACTGATGGACATAAATCCCACAGAAAAATAATGTTGGCCAATTAAGACTCTGGACTTCATCATGGACACCAAAATCCCCCATCTAATCACAAAGGAAAGAAAGACTCTTGATTTCTGCTCCATTTCATTAAACTCATCACTTCCTAACTATAATAACACAACAAAATTTAAGAACTGTCAAGCTCACTGGATCTATCGTGGATGTTCTTGCGAGAAAGGCTATGCTAGGGCGTATGGTCGACGCCTTGGGAGTACCAATTGATGGAAGGGGGGCTCTAAGCAATCACGAGCAAAGGCGTGTCAAAGTGAAAGCCCCTGGGATTACATTCGTGCACGAGCCTATGCAAACAGGTTTAAAAGCGGTAAATAGCCTGGTTCTTCTAGGTCGTGGTCAACAGGGGGTGGGGTTGGACTTTTTTCCAAGCTATTTCCAGTTTTAACCTCATTTAAACTATGATCATACATAGCCCTGACCTTTCCATTAAGTTTATAGGCATATACCAAAAAACATCATGGTTCAATGATCCTTGCTCCATCATGATTTCAAAGTAAGGGAGAATTTCAGAAAGGGGTCATCACCAAAAGCAGTAATAGGGATAAAACCCTCAATGATAGACACGGCCAATACAAATATGTGATGGGAGTCAAACCTAGTTGTTTTGAAGTTAATGATTACTGCTCCATCTATTTTAGTGCGAGCTTATCAGCGCTGCTATAGAGTCTCCTATTATTATATCTTTTCTTTTGTTCTTTGTGATATAGCAAAGCCCACCCTCCGCCACTCGAAACACAGGAGCCCAACAATGATTTTTCCCACATTGAGCACAGGACAGAAAAGGTTCTCAAAGAAAAGAGCATAAGTTTTATTATATGAAAATCAAAGGAAAGAAATGTCACACTTATCAGTAAAGAATAAAAATACAAAGTGCATTAAGAAAATCTCCATCGAACAAACCCTCAAACAGTCAGAAGGAAGAATCTGGAAAACAAATTAGTAGTCATTATGGTTTTTTTTAATAATATGTAAAAGCTTAGCTTTAATTTGGAGCTCTCCCATTTGAGAAAACCAACATAACTTATGCCTTATCACAATGTCAGGGATATCAGTTGCTTCTGCTAAAGGGAATCACAGCATAAAAAAATTAATTATGAGGAATTTAGAGGGAGCCAGAATACAAGAATACAGAAGCCTTATAAATATTCAGTACAAACTCCCATGGCTTCCACAGAGATTCAGGGGAAAAGGGTTAAAACAACAAAGACAGAAAAAGCATTATCTATAATCGGCTCAAACATATACACATCCGCATAAATAGCTCAATGTCGACTCAGTGAAATAACAAAATTCGAAAGATCTGAGATAGAAAGACAAATATTAACGTACCCAAATTGTCTCTTTTGCGATTAGGCCTGCAGAAAGAAGGCTTGGGAAAGAAGAGAGAAATGGAGAATAGGCGTCGGTTGACCGACAATGACAAGAGACCACACCGAGCTGGTAAGTAGAGAGAGAGAGCTCTGCACAATGTTTGATTGGTCAATGATGATAACCCGAAATCTGGAAAAGCAAAGAAAAACAAAGAAAACAAGCAATCATAATAAACGCTGCCACGTGTATCAAAACTTCTTTTCCTGTAATTTTCTTTTTCCCGTTCTTTATCATTCTTTTCCAGTAATAATTAGATCTCCGGAACTTTTTCGTTGCCTTTTTGGACAAATGTTATGTTAATGAGTGTAAAAAAAAAGTTACTTTTCTATATATAACGCTGAAATTCTCCGCGCTATATCTTAACGGTAACTTTTGCCGTTAAGGTATAGCGCGGAGAATAAGCGCGCTATAACCCCTGACGATTTGATTGCCAGATATAGCGCATAGAAATCAAGCGCTATACCTATAGTGCATAAAATCAGCACGCTATACCCCTTATTTTAATCCCTTCGTCTTCCCCAAGACCAGAACTCCCTCCTCCCCCATTTTTTTACTTCCTTTCGATTCTGGTCCCCCCTTCCCCTCCCCCTCTTGTCGTCTCTTAAAAAAAAAATTATGGGCCCCTCCCGTCACACAAAATGCTAAGAACGTAGGTCCCACATCGTAGTAGAGCATTGTATTATTGTGGTTTCACTCTTTCGGGCTCAAATTTTCAACCAATTCACTTTTCGAAAACACTAAATCAAGGTATTTCGATTTATTTTATGTCGAAACTTGTATAATAATGCATTAGTTGATTTGAATGTGTTTCCATGTCGTTTTGTGTTTTATTTGCAAAACTAGTATGTTATATTTATCCGGACTTAGATATTAGTGTTCTAAAAAAAATATAAAATTGAGGAATAATTTTTTCTGTTAATATCCGGATATAGATATTAGTGTTTCCATGTCGTTTTGTGTTTTATTTGCGAAACTAGTATGTTATATGTATTTTTGTGAATGTTATGTGATTAAAATGTATTTGTTATTTATATTTAGTTTAGATTATTTATTAGCGTAGTAAAATATAGAACCTTTTAGCGTAGTAAAATGTAGAGCCTTTTAGCGTAGCAAAGTGTAGAGTATTTTAGCGTAGAATCCCTGTAGTTTAAGTATCTCTTATATTGGTAGATGAAAATACAAACTTTGTACAATTAAATAATTAAATTAAGAATTTAAATTATAGAACAAACACACAAAATTATAAAAATATTGAATTTGACACACATAATTATTCATGATTGTTTGGTGCTACTGGGGCTCAAATATCGAGCCTTGAACCCATAGGTATATATACTTTGTACAATTAAATAATTAAAAATTAAGAATTTAAATTATAAAACAAATACACAAAATTATAAAAATATTGAATTTGACACACATAATTATTAATGATAGTTTGGTGCTACTGGGGCTCAAATATCGAGCCTGAAACCCATAGATATATATATATACTTTGTACAATTAAATAATAAAAAATTAATAATTTAATTATAAAACAAACACACTAAATGGTAAGACAATTGAAATTGACACACATAATTATTCATGATAGTTTGGTGCTACTGGGCCTCAAATATCGAGCCTGGAACCCAATAGATATATATATATACCCTGTCCATTTAAATATTGTATAACTCTAAAAATTGTATAACTCAAAAAATTAATTATTTAATTTACAGATTAAACATACAATTAATGTTGTTTAATTTACAGTTGGCGACATGGATGTGCCGCCTATACATCCCGGCCCTTACTCTCCTGAGCTATTAGTGCTACAGGGCGATCATAGGTCCGCCCATATATGGGACGGAGAGTTACTGTCCCAGACTCTCCGCGCTAGGAGAGTGGACGACTTGTGGGATTTTTAGAGGGATAGAGATCTCCATCCCCGTGTAGTCCAGCGCCTGCAGGATACGGGATTCTATAGGATTATTCAGATCGGGCGGATGCAACTCGATTGGGCTTTGATCACGGCGTTGATTGAGCGGTGGCGACCGGAGACGCACACTTTTCACCTGCCCATTGGCGAGGCCACCATCACGCTGCAGGACGTGGAGGTTTTATATGGCCTGCCCGTTGATGGCATGGCCGTTTCACTGCCTATTGCTATGAGATCTATGTCGCATGCGAATTATTTGGACATGCTGCAGCTGCTCACGGGTTTCAGGCCACAGGACAAGACTGCATCGTCGGGGGCCAGTCGGATGAGTTTGACCCCTATTAGACAGTACCTGGAGGTACTCCACCCCGAGATAACCGGCGATACAGAGGAGCTACATATTACCCGGTATACGAGGTTGTTGTTGCTTCTTCTATTTGGGGGGTCTTGTTCCCGAACACTTCGGGGAACCTAGTCAGTCTGAGATTTCTTCATCATATTCAGCTGCTAGATGAGTTACCGTATTACAGCTGGGGTGCTGCTGTTCTCGCCTACATGTACAGGCAGATGTGTCGGGCGAGCATGGGCACCCAGAGTGATGTTTGTGGTTTTCTGCCGCTTCTACAAGTGACAACATATTCGAATAATCTGTTCATTAGTTCCAATTCTACCTAGTTAGAATTTATCTTAAGCCTTACGTCAACTTTGTATGTTAGGTTTGGGCCTGGGAGCGGTTCTTGCAGTTTCATCCATCTCTAACACAATTACCTCCTAATGTAGCACCTCTGTTTCTCGCTCTATCCAGGAGGTGGGTTCTCCGCCGTACACTTGCACGAGAGTATGATGCTCATCATAATCTCCCCCTGTGCAGGGATGTGTTGGATCTGCTGGAGGGCGCACAGGTAAATATGTACCTAAACTTACCTGGTATAGATTAACTTAGTGTTGCGCATACTCACGTTTTGTATTCTTATTTGATAGTTCATCTGGACGCCCTACAGCGACGATTTGATAGGTGGCTTGCCAGATTGTTGCTCGGCCGGCCGACTGATTTGGAGCACTTCTGCCCCGCTCATATGCCTCGATATTGTGGAGCATCATGCCTCGGAGCGGGTACTTCGCCAGTTTGGCCGCCCGCAGTATATACCGAGGGGGCCTATATGGGAGCCTACACATTATCAGAGGGATGATCATTCCAGGGCGGACGACACATTTATAGCATGGGTAGCGGCGCAGATCCATACTTGGGATCAGCGAGATCGGATGATTCCTCCCCCACCTACACAGATCCAGGCGGTGGCTATTCAGAGGTATATGTCCTGGTACCGCCACGTTACCCGACATTTTATCGGGAACCCTGTTCATCAGGCTGGCGGTCGGTACTTTCCATACGTCGGGCGACACGAGGACCTGGTATGTTTTCTGTTATTATTAATTATATAACTATAACTTAGTGCAATATATGTAGTTTATATTTTATACGTTGTGCAGGCTATTGGACTACATACAGTCTATCAGATGGGACTGCAGATGCAGGATCATGTCGGCGATCCTGCGGTCGCCTTGCAGGATTACGGCCTTCAATCTGTAGAGGTGGCTACCAGGACACTGCAGCGAGCCCGAGAGGATCAGCGTTTTGCACACAAGCCTGATTATGTGGAGCTAGGGCAGTACGAGCGAGTCCCTGGTGTCGCACGAGGTGGTGGTGCCTGACGAGGTGGTGGTGACCGACGAGGTGGTGGTGCCCGACGAGGCGGGAGTGCCGGACGACGTGGTGGTGGGCGGAGAGGAGGTGGTCCCCAGCGAGGGGGCGTTGAGGCCCCTACTGATGATGTTGCTGCTGATCTGCCGGGTGGCCTACATGAGACGGACATGCCGTCATACAGCCTTGGGATGCATCTCACTCCAGGGACTTTGCAGGTGACCCCGTCAGGTCAATTATTGATCACGGGCACGGACCTTTCTAGAGTGGATTGGGATACGTACTTTCCAGGCCCGTCTACTGTTGCTGAGGATCGGCCGGCCCGAGATTTACATAGTGGGCACCGGCTGAGTTATGGTTCATCATCACAGGCGCAGGTATGGTTTTCTTAGTATTGAATTACAATTTGTTTTTATTCTTCTCATTTATTTTCCATAACTTTATTAATTTCCTTTTTAAGGCTTTGTGCGATGCTGACATGGCTGCGACAGATGATTACATTCAGGAGCCCGACGAGATCGTGGTAAGACAATTTAAATTGTTGTGACTTATTATATACTTTGCTATACTAAGCTTTCTATTCTTATGTAGGTTTCCACTGGACTGACGGCCCCTTCTACCGATCCTGTCAGCACCACTGATGATCATGCTGCGGCGCATCCGGCTATAAGGAGGCAACTTGATGATGACGATCCCGATAGCGTACCCAGGCGGGATGGGATGCGCCTCAGGCCAGCGGCTGCTTTGAAGCACACTGGATGCGGGACACATTGATTTTCTTTCCTTTTTTTGGTATTTGATGTAAATAATATTTTTGTTTATACATTAACAGCAATTTTTACATAATATGCGCATTACTTTTTTATTTCCCCGTTCATTAGTTAGTTTCGTACTACAACACAAACACAAGCATTAAAACTTAACTTCCATTACAATTAATGAAAATCAAGTTCAGTACAACTAATTTAGTTTAATACTACAACACAAACACAAACATAGCAACTTAACATAATTAAAATTCAGTACAACTAATAAAAATACATGACACCGGAAACATAAAGATAAAGTAATACACTAAACACATACATGTCAATGTTTAGTCCCTGCCGTCCATTATTCTCTGCTCCAACCACTTAAATTCTTCTTCCAACTTATTTTTTTCTTCTTCTACCTCTTTTAGTTTCGCTTTCAGCTCCGCAACCTCTCTTTTATGTTCTCTTTCACGTTCCCACTGTTGTAAACACAAATTATGAAGATGCTGCAAAGATTCTTTGTAGCATTCCTGATAATAGGGTTCATCAACCCATACCTCAAAATCGCAAATAGGTTCGTCGGGAACCTTATAAAACTTGTTCACACAGTGCCAGTAGCGGCGTCCAACTTCACCATTATCCCAACATTTTTGCATCATGCATTTTTTTTCCACACTCGCACCTTGGTACATAAAGAGGTTGAGACATTTGTGCGTTAGAAAAACCTTGCTTTTCTTGAAAGATTTGCTATTAGTTATTATTGAGCGCT